AAAAAAGCTATGTTAAAGAAAATTTTAGGGAATATATAAGCACAATATTTAGAATGCCATTTCTAAATAATATGAAAATAGGAAACACCAGCTCTATACAATAAATGACTATTGGTTTGCTATTTCAATTGCAGCCATAATGGTACTCTGTAAATACTATTAAATACAGGAATACATTTTTTATTAGATAGTATTCATGGAATATTTAGTTTAGAAATTAGATTATATGGTACAATCTAATTTTTGGTTTCTAGAAATGTTTTTATTTGTACCAAATAAGCCTTGAAAAGCAAACATTTAAAATGTCCAAAGTGGTCATAATTTTTCTACTCTTTTTAATCTGTAGTCTTGCTTTTCTACCTGTTAGTTTGTGAATGTTGTTTCAAATACTAAGAAACACTCTTAGTATAATGATTCTTCAACTAAACTAGTCCAAGATTCCTTTCCATGCCCTTTTTCAGTTAGAAATGAATTTTCCAACCTCCTTTTCTAGAAGTATCTTCTCTGCTGGCTGAGGGAGACCATCCTCGGCACTGCAGGTTCTGTCCCTGACTCCTTGGTGGTCTCTGGTGGCGTGGCATCTTTCTTCCGCATCTCTGCCTCTGGATCCCTAATCTACTCTTGTTATCTCAAAAGTAATCAAACTTAGGCAAAACCATACACTAATACTTCCTCATTAACATAACAACACCCATCCCCAAATGGGATTATAACTACAAGTGTAGGAGTTAGGATTTACAACACATGATTTGGGGGTACAATTTAATCACTAAGAGCAGTTGTCGATTTTCTCTGTGATATGTATGTTTACTATTTCCTCCTTTACTACACCATAAACCTCAGCTATGTGTTTTGTTATTATGTATTTTTATGTTACAAATTGAAGAAAAAAACAAAACAATTTGCTTTATAAAATCTTACACATTTGGGGTTATAATACTGGCATGAAAATTTTGAGTCAAATATCAGTGAAGTTTCTTGATAATGTAGAAAACATATGTTACTATTAGCGGAGATAAAGTGGTAACAAGTGTGATTTTTAAGCAGAATTAATTTATCTGACATTGTTTTTAAAATGTCCTAAGCATATTAAAGCAATTTTTTAAAATGCATATTGCTACAGGCAATGGTAAATCCCAACAGTTATACTACTTAAGATAGTTGATTAAAAATATTTACTACTTGTGAATGATTTTCTTTTCATTCATTCAGCTATTATGGTCCTCACAATTTCTTTCATAGATAGATATTTCATATTTGGAAGTAAATTTATTTTACTTAGTTTGAATATAAGGCTTTTTTTCAGATATATGAGTTTTTGTAAAAGTAAATGTATATTCAAATATAGCTTATTATTTTAAAAAACCATAAACATTCTGATTTAGCTTAAAATTGAAAATTTGTAGCAAAGTATTTAATAATCAAATCAATTTAAAAGCAATTCATTTATTATTTGGACTTGAAACTATAATAAAACAGCACTTCAAAATATTGAAAGTATATAAAACTTTTCCACCTTTAAGTTAAAGTCCCACAGACTTTCCCATTATCTACATAATAGGGCTGAAAACCTAATTTTATTATTATCATGTGATTACTCCATACATAATAAAAATTATATGTAGATTTAAAATAGTTTAGAATTTTATTTAAAAATTTTATCTCTTAGTTTTTTCTGTCTGAAGCAGAACAAAACAAAAACTCATTTAGAAATATTTCAGTTTCCCAGATTTAATATTGCAAGTTTCCAGAAATTAAAAATGACATTTATGAGTTTCTAAAGGAAATTTCTAGCATTTTTTTAAATTCAGAAAAATAAAAATAAATTTAGTGTTCAGCCTTTACTATATTTCACCAAGACAGTATAATCATCCCTGCAACAGACACATCTTTCAGCCCATAATAGTAATGAAAATTATGAATAAAATAAGCCATTTGGTTTTATTTTCCAATGATTATTTCTCCTTAAAACATGAAATTATAATGTATAAAACTTTAGTTTTATTTTTTATTCCATCCTTTAGAAAAGATAATTATTTTCAGGACTATAAATGACTTTCATGTTCAAGAGCTCGATCTTTCAAGGGTACACCTGTTCAAAATGTATTTACATGAACTAGACAAAATGGTAAGTTAC